CAGGATCCAAGAGGGATCTTGCACAGCGAGTGGACAGTCATGGAGACATAATCAGACAGAGGATCCCAGGGAACAGGTGTCTCAAATCAGACAGGGAGGATAGCAGGGAGCAAACACAACAGGGCGTGGTGAGAAATAGCTGAAGCAGGAAAGACCAGATGTGAGACCAGAGGATGGAAAGCAGCTTCTGAGATCCTCAGCAGGATCCAAGAGGGATCTTGCACAGCGAGTGGACAGTCATGGAGACATAATCAGACAGAGGATCCCAGGGAACAGGTGTCTCAAATCAGACAGGGAGGATAGCAGGGAGCAAACACAACAGGGCGTGGTGAGAAATAGCTGAAGCAGGAAAGACCAGATGTGAGACCAGAGGATGGAAAGCAGCTTCTGAGATCCTCAGTGAAAGGCAGGGGAGTTGGGAGGGTAACTCAGTCCAGCAGGGCTTGGGAGATAGGGAGGTTTTGAATATTGTGGGGCTGGCCAGGGCGGAGCAGAGGCAGGATCATGGCAGGTAGATTCAGTTTCATTTTCTTTGCCCTCCTGTCTCCTTGGGGAAGGGGGGGAATTTTCAATAGTGGTAATAAGATGTGCACTGAAGAGGGGAGCATGCGCCTGCTGCCTGACAACATGCTGTGAAGAACTCCTACATCCCCGATGTCTGCTCCTGTCCCTGCTGGTACTTTCCTCCACTTTCATGGTCAAACTTGGCTGTTTCTGTTTCCTAGAAGAGTCTCTGATGCGTATCCCTCACCTTTGTGTTTGCAGGTAGCCTATGGGACCACAGAGAATAGCCCTGTCACCTTCATGGGATTCCCAGAGGACAGCATCTCCCAGAGAACTGAGACGGTGGGATGCATCTTCCCCCACACCGAGGTGAACCTTATCTTCCCACCTGCCCTAGCTTTCCAATCCCCAGCATCTGCAGCTAGTATGGGCCGTCTCCAGTGTTCCCTGTAAGCTGAACACTTGTGCGGCTGCTCAGGAGAGATTCAGATGCCGCCCAGCTGATTAGCAGAGCGCTCACAGCTAGGGTTTTTGTTTCTACTGGTGGTGCACGTGCACATATCTCAATGCACATACAAATTATTCCACACACAGATGGAAAAATCCATGCATGGATGGAAAAGATTAGCAGGAACATTGTCCATCTCCCTTCCGTTGCCTGTCCCCCCTAGTTGCACTTGCTGCCAGCGCGGGGCTTGTACAGGCCTGAAGAGCCCAGTGCTTTTGTGTTACAGGCCAAGATTGAGAATCCCGAAACTGGGGAGATCGCCCCTCTGAACAGCCCCGGGGAGCTCCACATTCGAGGCTACTGCGTCATGCTGGGGTACTGGGAAGATCCCAGCAAAACCAGGGAAGTGATCACTGAGGACAGATGGTACAAGACTGGGTGAGTTTGTTTGAGAACTACATACAATCAGCTCTTTTGACCTCTGTTCTGGAGGTAGGGGGCAGGTATATGGCTTTGGGTGGGAACCGCTTTGACTCCTGCATGAGAGTCTCCTTTTGATGTTGCATCTACAAATTGGTGATGGAAATTCCAGCCCCCCGCCAGTCAGCATTAAGTGCTCTAGGCCCTGAGCATGTCAGTGGGAAGACTTCCTCTGGGCTGAGTGAACAGATGAGCTTTCTCCAGCCAGCTGGGAGATGATCGTGGAGTTGACTCTGGTATTGTTTCAGTGACATGGCTGTCCTGGACGAGTATGGCTACTGCAAAATTGTAGGACGTTGCAAGGACATGATTATCCGTGGAGGGGAGAACATTTACCCTGCAGAAATTGAGCAGTTTCTACACACCCACCCCAAGATTGAGGAGGTGCAGGTGAGTAGGATGGATAGATATGGTGGGGAAGTAATTGGCAAGCTACCATCCTGGGCACTTGTATGGGGCCTGTTTGCTTTCACCCCTGCTCAGCTTTTCACTCCACTGGTGAGCCCAGAGAGGCTGATTTGGGGCTTAAAATCCAAGAGTGAGAGTAGAACTCCTGGGTTCTGTTCCTATCTTTGTCACAGACTCACTGGAAGCTTGGGTAAAATCCCTGCGGTCCAGCTTCCCATCTGCCAGCAGGAAGGATAACTCGTCCCTTCCTCAATTTCGGACCTCGCTGACGCTTGGAGCGTGCTGTGAAATCCCCCTGCTGGAAAGCCTAATGGCAAGGCACAATCACTTCAACCACAAATTATGACCTAAGAAATCAGCAAGGCATCTCTTCCTGTACTGAGTCACTCTCCCTCTGAGGGAGGAGACCCATTTTACATATGGGGAAGTGGCGGTACAGAGGTTGTCCAAGGCTTGGGAATTGAACCCTTGTTCTCAGTTCACGTTTCTAATGATGCGATCCCCGTGCCCCAGCTAGGAAAACAAGGAGAGGGCTGAGGGTGGAGACAGCGCACTGGACTGAGAGAGGGATAGGGACCATTCGGGGCTCATTAGGGAAGGAAAGTGTTGCGGGGTCGAGCCTTTACACTCGCAGGCCCTGAGGCCTAGTCCAGGCTCTGGGAGGATGGGGTAGGAGGGTCCAGGCCCTCCCTCTCCACCGGACCCCGACTCAGGGCCCTATTAGTGGTGGGTGGTTCCCACCACTGGCTCGGCGGGGGGGTCTCCCCAAAACATGCCAAGCCCACCAGGGGGTTCCCTGCCCCCTGCCCTGGGTTGCTTCCTACCCCAGCCCCTGGCCGACGGAGACCCCATCTGCAGTGGTGGTGTTGGCAGTGGCCATGATGTTGGCAGGCCCGATGTCCCAGCCGGTTGTCCCCCGCGGCTGGGTGGGCTGCCCCCTGTGGTCAGCGTTGCGGTCGCGCTCGGCCCAGGGACTGTAGCAGCGGAGGCGGCAGGCCCGGCGGCTCTTGCTCCGGCGGCAGGTCTGGCTGTGGCTCCGGAGGTTGGGCAGGAACTCCTCCCTCCCCGGAGGCCAGCCCCAACTGAGTGGGCCCGGACGCCTTTCCACAGTTGGAACGTGCCCAGCACTACTGTGGGGGCGAAGCCCGCACAGCCCAGCAAGCCTGCTGGCTCCCCCCTTGGCCAGTGCAGGGCTGGACTGCCCCGTGCACAGGAGCACTTCCTAAGACTGCTGTGTTCCTCCTTCCTCCCCAATCAGGTGGTTGGTGTGAAGGATGAGCGAATGGGAGAAGAGATCTGTGCCTGCATCCGAGTGAAGTCTGGGCAGGAGTGCACGGCAGAGGAAATCAAAGCATTCTGCAAAGGGAAGGTAGGATCTCCCCGTCCACTCCCTGGCCGTGTGCCTGTTTGCTTTGCTTTTCTCAGTAACTCGGTATGTTCAGGGCCCAATCCTCAGTTGGCGCGAAGTGCTACAACTCCACGGAAGTTTCCTATACCAGCTGGGGACTGAACTTGAAACCGGTCATGTGTATTCCTGGCATGAGCAGAGACTGCTGTAACAGCCCTATCTGACCAGGGGTGACAGAGGCCACCCTGTGTGCTGTGTCTTGCAGGCTGTAGTTCTTGGCTCTCTCTTTTCAGATCTCTCACTTCAAGATCCCTCGATACATAGTGTTTATGCAGAACTATCCGCTCACCGTCTCAGGAAAGGTAAGGGACAGTCCATCGGCCGGGGTACTGGGAGTAGCTCCCCCAGCTGTCTCTCCTCTGACTCTCTCTCCTCAACGCTCCAACTCCAGATTCAGAAATACAAGTTGAGAGAGCAGATGGAGAAGCAACTCCGGGTCTGAACACAAAGATGGAGGATCGAAGAGAATTGTGAATGGACCCATCTGGGTCATTCTGGTGTCTCTCCATCCACACCAAGCCAAGAACAGCAGCCGGGAGCTGATCTCCACAAACCTGCCCCTCCCACCCAACCTGATCATACTTTCAATTAAAATAAAGACAACCGCTTGTTTTTCCAACAGAGATCTTTTCATAAAGAATCAGACCAGTGAGGGAGGAAGGAGGGGGGTCAGACCAAAGGCGTGGGCATCCCCATTACCACATTTTACTCTTGACTCACACTCCTTGGATAGGGCCTCTGCAGGTCTCTCTAATATGTGCATGTATCTCAGGACGAGGCTTTCCTGCCTCCCGGGGGATTGCAAGGCTTAATTCAGTAATGGGGCTGCAAAGGGCTTTCAGATCCCTAGATGGGCAGCGGCAGAGAAATATGAATAATCTTCTTACTGTATATTTTAGAAATGTGTGTCTGTCCGTCTGTCTGTCAGTGAGTCCATTTGTTCAAGAACTCCGTTATAAGAGCTAGGATCACCATGTTTGCTATGCAGCTTCTTATCCTAACTTAAAGCAAGGTCAGGGTTTGGTTGTGCCAGGACAATGGGATGTGCCTGGAATTCGATTGTTTCTCAAAAAATGGAAAGGGAGGGGTATGGCAGGGGGACAGTTATACTGCAGAATGACCAAAGGGGGGGCAGCAAGGGTCAGAAATGGGGACGGGGACAGCTATAGCCCCATTGGGCCAGCAGGGGACAGAAATGGAGAAAGAGACAGCTATCTATTATATATTTCAGAGTTTGTCTGTTTGTGTGTTTGTCTGTGGTTTGGCCAAGGGACATGCCCCCCTCCTGCATCTGTTCCTGCTGCAGCTGCTGCAGCCATGGACAGATGCTTCTCTGTCCATAAAAAAGGGATAGAGAATAAGGCAAAGAACATCGTATTGCCTCTGTATAAAACCATGCTACACCCACATCTTGAATACTGTGTACAGATGTGGTTGCCCCATCTCAAAAATGACATATTGGCAGTGGAAAAGATTCAGGAAAAGGCAAGAAAAATTACTAAGGGGTTGGAATGAG